GCAATCCAAAGATCTCTGACATACATAAAATCTGATTTATAAATAAAGTATATTAAATATTTGGGAATTAATGACTTGATTAATGAAGTCTTATCACTCCAAATATAACCAAATATTTGTGAAGGATTTAAGTAATTTAGAATCTGAGTCCCAGCTTTCTTTTAATACTGATACTGTATTAAAGTGGATACTTTGCTACAAGTGAGCAATTCAAGTCAAATGATAAAGCTGAGCCGTGATCAAAAAATAAGATTTCCCTTGTGTCGTTAATTAAAACCACATAAACAAGGCCATTTGGTATTAATTCAGAAGCATTTGGCTTTATATAGTTTTCCCCCTTATAACATTAAATTATATTGACAATATGGGGGCAATTTTTTACATTAATAATATTTATTAACAAAATTGATTAGTAATCTGAACATCTTCAAGACAATACTTGTGTGTCAGATTAGTTATGGCACCAATATTTTTTACCACTTTGTAATTAAAACTGAAAAAAAGGTCAGAGAATGGTTGATTAACTACAAATTAGATGCCTCATTTCTAAATACTAGATAAGTTATCTTATTTGGCTCATCTGAGGAGAACATTACAGAGAAGTAAGGAGTTACAAACATAAATGGATTTAGGCTGTAAGTGACATTAAATAGCCCAAGCACTTCATTCATGTCACCTGTTTATTTTTTATGATATCCAAAATGCTAACAGTCTTGGTACCTGCATTTTTATCCCATGGTACCAGGAAAGGAGCTGTGGGGCATACTCGTAGAGGCAGCCACATTGGCAGCAGTAATTACCAGGAATGACAACTGAACGAAAGAGAACCTAATATCTATAATAAATAGATAAAAGATCTAAGAAGAATGTGACATGGGTCAATTAGAATAGGGGCAAAGATTGCCATGTATCTGAGTAATCTGATTCCACTATAAATCATATTGAAACTAATTGTAGTTTAATATCGTGACCAACCCCAAATCAAGAATATATCTTCAGTTATCTTTATTACACTGATTTTATAAATACATACAATTTTAATTTTAAATGACTTATACTTTTAATTGTAGATCTAAGGTGTTCCTGCTTAAAATTAGAAGCAGCTATAATACAGATTCATTAATTCTTATATTAATTCATTTCAAAAATAATTATTGAGGAACTACTCTGCATAAGGCTCTGTGCTAATTTCCTGAAGTATAGCAGTAACCAAAATAGAAAAATATTGCTGTCCTCACAATGCTTACACTCTAGAGTGGGGTAAGTGGAGATGATGAATGTAATAAATAAGTAAACTATAAATTAGAGGGTGATTAGAGCTGCAGAAAAAAAGAAAAAGTACAGCAAAGCACAACAGGGAGTGCAGATGAGCAGACTGTAGTATTAAAAGTCTGGTGGTTGAAGTTAAGCATCACTGAGAAGGCAACATTTGAGCAGTTGACTTGAAGGAGGTGAAAGATTTAGACAAGTGGCTAGCAGGGGAAGAGCATTCCAGGCAGAGGAATTGGCTTGAGCACATTCCTAAGGTGAGAGCACACCTGCACTATTCCAGACCATTTGCAGGGTTCTCAGCACGAGAGTGACATGTGCCAAGTATGTTCGAAGTGTTTTGTATGTTCTGACCCACTGAGTCCCCCAAACAACTTCCTAAGAATAGTGCCATTTTTTTTCCCTTTTAACAACTGGGAAGCACAGGGAAGTTAGGTAAACTGCCCCAAATCACACAAGTAGGAAGTGGTGGAACCGGGATCCAAGTTCCAGACGTGAACTATTAATAATTAGAGCTCTAGGTGCTACATGAACAAGACATACATATATGCACATTCGCACACACACCCACACATGCATATTTGAACCCACATGTGCATTCATGCTTGCAGGTATGCACACACACCTACATACCCATAAACATACACACACGAGGGTGGAAAGGGAGTCAAGAGACCATAAATGAGAGTTTGTTACCCACATTCTGTTCCTCTTGGTCCATGTTTTATTTTCTCTCTTGTATATTTTAATTGTTAACCTTTAGATTAAAATTTGTTTAAATGAAAGATGTTTAAATTGATTGAAAACATCTGGAGTTATTTTCAAAATAGCAAAACCAAATTAAAAATTCTTAATGTATAAACTAAATATTGTGGAAATACATACAATTATGCCAATTTATTTTAAACAAAGAAAACAAAACAAAAACACTCTCACTGAACTGAAACAATGTGCCCTAAAATTTTTTTATTAGCCTACAGAAAAAAATATAAGAACGTTTTCTGGTTAAATGTCTAGAAAAATATTGAGGCTGTCATTTAAACTATTTACTTGGAAAGACTTTGAAATCAATAGAAAGGCATCATAAACCATGATTTATGATTCATACCTCCAGCAAATGAAGATAAATGTGTCACTAGATAATTTTGCTACATTAATTATCTTGTTTCTGACACATAGACACTGTATTACTTACCAATGTATATTATTGCTATGGACTTTTGAAAATGCTTAAAAAATATTGATTGTCACAGGTGAGTCCACATAAATTCTATTTCATAGACTAATTCAATATACCAAATCTATATGAATGAAAATAAGAATTGATCTCTGAAATATAATATAATATTCTTCAAAACATATAACAAATTTTAGAAAATCAGAGACTTTGAACTTCTGTATATCAGGGTTGTAAGTATTGTGTGTAGTAAAACGAGTATTCTACAGACATTTATTAAATTAAATATTGATTCAAAAAGTAATTAAATCCAATTTATCAGGAGAAAAATTATCTGTCTACCGCAGTCTTAAAAGACACTGGTGAGAGAATACTTTTCATAACATTTAATGATAAAAAATAAGACAGCCATCCCCAAAATGGTGTAAAAATCATGGCTATTATTTATGGCTTTATAGTTTTAAATACCCTACAGTTTTATAACAGCCATATAATCCAACAAGAAAAGTAGAAAAATAAACATTTCCCCAAATTGGTCATAACTATCAAAAACTTCTGGGCAAGAAATTTTACATAGCAGATATGGAAACAGAATAATTTAAAGCAACACAAATGATATTCCATATCACTTCCAGAGTCAACATGCTTTATACAAAATCATTTTACTTCCACTATTTCTTCAGCCATTATTCTTGCTTCTTGTCCATTCAAATTGCTTGAACCAAACTCTAGGATATATTTCTGGCACTTTTCAAAATGGAGGTCTCTTTATACTAACCATATACACAGACACAAATAATAAATAAAAAACAATGTTTCCTATTTTCTCATTCTCTATTCTGAAGGAAATCCAAAGATTTTACGCTACAGAGAATTTTTTTTCATTTTGACTCCTGGACAATTTCACTTGAAATCACCAAAAACCAAGACAAGCTTAAAGAACAACAACAAAACAACCTGCATTATTGAATAATAAAAAATATTCCCCATCACTCCATGAACTTTATGCTATATTTTTTGTTAAAAATTATAATTTTCCTTGATTTAAAAATTCACTGTTGAGTAAAAGTCTGCCAAAGGAAAAGGAATTCACATGGTTATATAGAGAAAGAAATATTGCCTCATATAAAGCGAGAAACAAGTTTCACATGAGGGTTTGTGGTCCACTGAAAAAGAAGATGATTTCTAAACATTTGAACAATTGACAGTAAGTGGGAGGTGATTCCTGAATGTATTTTGGAATTTTATTTTAATTTTTTTTGACTCAGCACTAATAACCAAAAATAAACTCAAGGTAAACTGAGTATTATGTTTTAAGAGTGGATAGAGCAGATTCTAACATGGAAAAAGTTAAATATTTACATTTGTTTATGTATATATATTTTAAGATGATGAGTATCTTCACATTCTCTCTCCTTAAGAAAAACAATCATAGCTATTTATGCAACAGAGCTAACTGACTGATACCTCTGTCATTGTTTAGCAACAAATGCAGCAGTTTGTGTGAAATTTGTCAAATTAAGTTTCATTCTATGACATTTTTTGATATGTCACCTAGGCTAGATTACAGTCCCAGTTACTTAATCAAACACTAATCTGGGTGTTGCTGTGAAGATATTTTGGGGATGTGATTAAAGTCCATAATCACTTGATTACACATAAAGAAAGTGATCCTAGAGAATCTGGGAGAGCTTGATTTAACCAGTTGAATGGTTTTAAAAGCAGAACTGATGCTTCCTTGAGACAAGAAATTCTCCCTGTGCATAGCAATTTCAGATTGTGACAAGAAAGTGTCACATTGCTATTCCTTGCCATTCCTGATGGGCTGCCCTTCGGATCTCATACTTTCCTATCTGGCCCCTAAATCATATAAGCCAATTCTTCACATTAAATCTCTTAGTATGTATCTCTTATTGATTTTGTTTCTCTGGTTGAACATTGACTGATAAAATTCCAAATTGGAAAAAAGCAGTAATTGAAGAGAGAAGGAAGCTGCTATGATTTGGGAGCACCCTACCCCAGGCTGTGTCCACGTGTGCCAATAGACTCAAGCTAGACAAACACATACACGCATTTGCATATAAACATACACACATACACAATCTCATATCAGAAACAATATGTTTTCAAACACTCAAACTCCTATGTATAACATACCTGAAATTTTTGACAGATTTAATCAATCAAAAACATCGATGAAAGATAACTACACAATGAGAGAGTAGAACTCAAGAGCACATTCTAAATACTAAAGTAATCTGTAGAAGGAAGTAGCCATATCACATTACTTCCACCAAAGACATTTCACACACTTTGATACAGAACAACAATCGTCATTAGAAAACAAACAAAAATATTTACCTAAAAGATGATAGATGTTGCTTGTCCAAGCAAAAGAAAAGTGGTTTTATCTTCTATGACACTAGTCAAATAATCCGATGGCACTCATACAACTACATAAGTACTTTTTCAAACTCATAAACAATAAGTTATTAAAAACAAGTTGTATACAGACAAACTAATTTTAAACACGTTCCCTGCTTCCTTTCCTTACCTGGACTGCATATCTTGCTGAGTTTTGGCCTGAAAACTACAGAACATATAATCATATTTTAAATAAAACTTGCTGTTGGCAATAAAATACATCCTTCTCTGTGGTCAAGGTTTTATGTCCCCTTATAGAGTTTAGGAACATTAACAAACGATAGGATTTCTTGCTCTCTTGAGATTTATAGTGTCATCCAAACTACAGTGAAACTATTCACATAAAATTAACCTCGGGGTTGTTCTTTTTAACCTCCAGACCTTCCTTACACTTTCTGTAATATAGAAGAGTTGGCTTGATCAATCTGAGACAACCAGGACAAAGTATTAATTTTCTCCTATAAACATGAATGATCTTGTTTAAATAGTTTTTAAATTTTTCTTGTTTTTATGATCACGTTTAATTAATTTATCACTTTTGAACATTCGTATATTTTTAAAAGATGAACGAAAATCAGCAAGCTTATTTTAATAAAGATTGTCATGTGAGAAGGAAGAGACATAAAATGAACAAATGGTAGCATTTCCAGCCTGCCTTTTTCCACTTAGAAAGCAAACTATTATCCTGGGGCATTTTATTCACATTTCAATTGAAGTAACAGAACCACCAGTTAGGTTTGAACCTAAGCTTTTAAGACATTAAACGTGTAATTTAATTACACATCATAGCATATACCTGTGCTGGGGCTGACACATCATAGCATATAAAGATAAAAGAAACTGAAACATTATTTACTTTGGCATGACAAAATTTGTGTTACATATGGCAAGTTTTTGCAAACTTTTGCCACCTTTTAATCATAGCATATAAAGATAAAAGAAACTGAAACATTACTTTCTTTGGCATGACAAAATTTGTGTTACATATGGCAAGTTTTTGCAAACTTTTGCCACCTTTTATATGTGGAAGGAAAAGAGGCTCAGACAAAAAAGATGACAAAACTAGTTCAATCTTTTCCCACTTGGCTACATTTCAATTTTAGTGATGATCTTTCAAACTATTGATGATTTAAAACCTTTACATATAACAGTTATTAATACCATTAGTGCTAATTATCTAAGAACTCATAGTGACATTCAAACCCACTAAAATTTTTGAGTATCACCATCAACATGATTATATTATAGAAATGTTATTGATAAAATAATATTTGAGCATTAATTATACTATCTTACCTGTATTTATGTTCATCTGTTATCCGGCATTTATCTAATCACCCATACATCTACTTAAGAACTTAAAAATACCATAAACTAGTCATAACATCAAGAAGTTTCATTCATTCACTCTCCTCCCATATACTCGGTCATGAAAAGAAGAGTTCTGGCAACGTATGGAAAATATTTAAATAAGGCATACATTAATCACAATTATGTTTATGTTTCCATGATTTTGGAAACTTTGCCAATTTCCTTTAATGTATTAAGGAGCCATCTACTCCAACATTACATTTTTTACATTACAAAAAATATTTAAAGAAACATCAATGCCATTTGTGACGACCCCGCTTTTTCTTACCTTCAGCAGATAAACCTTGAACATTTACTCCTCTGGCTGCTAGAAAACTAAGGCAGACATCAACATTTTCAATCTGCAACATGAAAAGCAGTGAAAAAGCAACTTAGAGCATTATTTTTAAATAAATACATGAGCTAGAATGAAACCAGAAAGAAAGATAAAGAATGAATACTTTACATTCATTTCATAGTAGAGATCTTTGCCAGAGTTTAACTAGAATTATTTTGGCTAATTGCAGAATGAGTATAAAGCTTTCATTGTCCAATGTGGTACTCACAAACAATTCATAAAGGCTTGAACAAGAATGACATTCTTGAAGATTAGCAACCCACCTACTTAACATAAAACCGGATTTTGTGCTTTTCAAATAAGTCTCAATAAAAGCATCCATAGAGGATGAGACTGTTGCATGCGTGAGTCTTAGAATGTTAGAATGTGGGTAACTGAGATTCAACCAGTAATCTATGTTAAGTATACCAAAAGATAAGACAGAGAAAGGATTAATACAATATGAAAGAAATGAAGCATATTTTCATCCTAAACCATAGCAAATCTTTATTTTAAAAATTTTATTTCTACAGTTGAGTAATCCTCTGATTAAATATAGTTAATACAATATGAAAGAAATGAAGCATATTTTCATCCTAAACCATACCAAATCTTTATTTTAAAAATTTTATTTCTACAGTTGAGTAATCCTCTGATTAAATATAGTTACTGCCTTTGCAATTTAAAAAAGTGATGCCCATGGCCTTTAAATAGTTGATTTAAGTACAGCTTGTAACCATTTAGAGTGAGAAGCAATAAAATAAAATTAAATAAAATAAGCAAATGACTGCTTTATGTTAGTTAAAAGGTCATAACGTTATACAGCAATTGTAGAGCTAAGACTTTTATATTAGTGTAGAAAGCTAGAAAGTTACAATTCTTTGTGTCAGTCCCTGGGTTTTCTGGTATTTTATAAATCTTGATATTCTAAAGTAAACAAGAGATTTAAAGTTAATAATTTGGCAAGGTATTATTTTCTGTCTTCTTAAATTCTCATCAAAATGATGTACGAGGACACACAAGGTTCTGCCAATGTCCTCTCTAGCTTAGATTCGTACTAAGTTCGAAATGTCTTTTAAAGAAAATAAAAAGAAAAAATCAATTCAAGAATCTGCCCTTTAAAAATGGACACACTATTTACATTCCTTTTTAAATGTAATTTTGTGCAAAAATTAAATTTAAGTAATAATATCCAATAAGATGTTCTTTGCTTAAAAATAACTACAGACAGCCAAAATATACACATTTGCTTTGAGAAAAAATGATTTTTATATCTATCTACTGCAAAGTAAGTTTTACTGAATTTATTCTACTGAAAAAAGAATAGAGCTGAACATGCTAATGAATCTTGTTCTGCTCATCAGCATCTGAATATCCAATGAGGCTAGGTGCTGAAATACACATCAAATTCTTTCCTTTCTTTACATTTCACTTTGCTACTAGAAAACAAGATTATATAAGGAAGGACAGAAAGAGGAAAGAAAAGAAGAAATGAGGCAAATTGGGTGTTCTACTGTATCCAGCCAAAGCGTTCTTTGAAATTAATTTTTTTCAGGTCCATTAAAAATGAAGAAAAGCAAAATGCCAAATAATTACTGAAATAATTAGTATTAAGAAAGGGGATTGGATATTTTTATATTTAAGTATTTGTAGTAACAGTCCTGATGTTATTAATTCCATAGCAATTATATGGTTTTTATAGAAAGTAAGATCTGTGACCCATGCACATGTAACATACTGCAAAATGTTAACAGGACAATATTCCCTAATTTTAGTTATTTATATTATAACTGAACAGGCTAGTTCACTGGAATATCCAGAAAAGGTTAGTAAGTAGTCTGTAATTAATTTTTAAGATAGCTTTTTTGGTCTAACATTTAACTAGCATATAAAATAAAGTGCACCACAATTAAAAAAGAAAAAAATTAAAAGGGCCCTAATAGATGAAAAAAAATATTAAAAATACTCTTTATTCTTTTTGAATCTATTTATTAGGAGTATTCAACCTTTTGTAATATTCTCTTACAATCATTCATTATGGGCACCAACAATTTAAGCCAGTTAACTCAGTTACCCATTATTACTACAGTAGCTAAGCAGTAGAAACAGAGTAAGTACTTGAATATAGAGTTTCCAATATGATTATTAAAGGCTAATTTATTAAAACTCATTTATTTAACAATATTTGTTTATTGGTCAAACTTAATTTTCTAGTAGTGCAGCAGCATAGTAAACATAAGAAAATATATCATTTTCCTGCTGAGTTCCAGTCCTTCTATAAATTCAATCATGTTCGTACATACTATGCTACACTTTTCACACAGAAAAAAAAAAAAAAACTCCGTAAAAATAAATGGCTTTGAAAAATCTTGTTAAATGACATTTATATGATCAGTTTCCTTGCCAGGTGGCATACTTTAAAATGAGTGGATTTTTTAACTATATAATAAAATACTTTGGTTAATTATTATTTTTATTTCAATAAAATCTAGAGATTATTTTCTCATCATCCCTGTTTTTATTTCAAATAGATCACCCTTCTACATTCCCCAGTTAATTATATCTACTATAAACACTGTTTTAATTATTTTTTCTCATATTAAATCACAATTGTTCTTTGGACCAAACCTCTAAAATTTTCGTAACCTGCAAACAGAAGAAATGATTTTTATCAAATTGATTCAAGTAATTGAAATCAGTTCTATTTTTCCTCAATATTATTTGAACCATATATCAAACTATCAAAATTCAAATCACAATTTAATACCTAATAATTTGGGTCAAATTTTAATTAAAATAACTATGTACCTTAATAAAGTATTTTCTAAAATTTTGGCTAGGACTCTTAGCAAGAAATACATTAAATAGCACAACCCAATATACATATACATAACTATAATGGAAACAAATGCTTAATGGAACAATAATTACCCTTACTAAATTCAGGTCACTGTGATGCTTTTTACTACATTGTATTGTCTTCTGTTTAATCTACTTAAATGTTGGTTAAAACCTACTAGATGGATTGCAGATTCCATTAATGGATGGTAATCCACAATTTGAAAAAAACATTGCCCCAAAGACGAGCAGAGCATTGCCATGTCTACATTGCCTTTTTGGTAGGTGACTATATTAAATGGCTAATAAAAAAGTGGAAAATTGTCCTCAGAAGCAAGGTCTCGGCAAGATTTTCACAAAATAAGTTGACTAACACAGAAAACTATGTTCAAAATACTGATTATGTAATCACAGCTAATTCTTAGGATGCCCTTAAAAAATACGTGTCCCTGTTTCTAATATCTGAAAAAAAAAATTACAGCTTTTCAGTCCCCATTAATTTGTCTAGACATACAAATTAGTAAAGAGATGAAACCAAGTTGAAATTCAACATATGATAAGAAACCAGTTATTTGACCAATTTTAACTACTATTTCAAAATTATTAGGTTATTGGACCAAGTCAATCTTTTC